CGGATGGTAATCAAGTCTCAGGCATGCTTGAAAGAGTTGTGTTTTAAATCTCCCAATACTGCTCCAGCATGCGGCTAGCAATTCTACTGAGATTCCGTCTGCACCAAGACAGGTATTACCTCCTCCAATAGTATATGACTGAGCTTCCAGCTCTGATATCTCCTCAGACCATGGAATCTGAGGCTCTACTAGCCTTGTGCAAGGTGGAAGATCGTCTGTTTCCGAGTGACGGTCCAGTAGTAGATCGCGCAAAATCATCGCTCGCTCTGCCTGGTCTGACACTAGCTTCCCATCATGCCAAAGGGGTGGTGGGATTTTTTGGTGTTTCGGGACCGCCCACCTCATCATCTTGTAGACGTCCGAGCACGACTGCATCGTTTCTATCCGCTTCTTCCAGTGCTCTCTCTTGGCTGATGCTACTGTAGACCTCAGGATTTTGGCGTTGGTAGTCCGTTCTTCCTCGGTATATACAGAGCGATAGTTAAGATGAGCCTCTTTGCACTTTGGAGTCCACCAGGGCGCAGACCTACCGCTTCGTTGACTACGTCTCTTTCCGAACGCTTTCAATCCGTCTGTTAAGGCCTGACAAATCGCTTCCGCGTATCTCTCAACATCGCTAGTCGACTCCAAGGATTGCGGAGCTGAGATCCACTGAGATACTGCTCGTATGAAGTCCGGAAGCTTTTCTTTCCAGACTCACAGTGAGCCTTGACATTCTTCCTCTTCATGACTTTTACTAGTTACCAAGCCGCAGACAGGAAAATGGTCGCTTATCACGCACTCACTCCGCTCTACCCATGCCTGTGCCCCCGCGACATTTATCCATACTAGATCAAGCGTATTTCCGGCTCGATGCGTAGGCTCCCCAATGATAAGACAAGTAAGGCCGTGTTGCTCAGCCAAGGCCTGTGTTTTCTCGCCGTGACCATATAAGCGCGTTGCACTAAGTTGCCATGCCCGGTAAACGGAGTTGAAGTCGCCTGCAATTATTGATGCTGTCGGAGGTACCCAGTTGGTTACTGGTTCGATTGCTGCGTCGTTATTGTGCGCCTTGTACACATTGAGGAATGTGAAATTGTCGACAACTACCCAGCAGTAGTCTCCGGTCAGCGAAGAACATGGGAAAATCTGTTTGGCAAATATTTCCTTCTCTTTCGTTCGAGTGTACGTTACGGCTCGTGGCCGAACGCCTATCCCGCCGTGCGGGATGTGCAGAGTGTATCCAGGGTGAGATTTTGTCTCGCTGGACCACCAAGGCTCCTGTACAAGCACAACATCAATGCCTCTCTCGAAAGCTCGAGAAAGCGCAATGTCGTGCATTGGACCCCCCCTACCAACATTTATTGACATAAACTTGGGCTTTGGTAGGGATGAACGACGCCGTGAGGCGCGTTTCATGAACGGGGGGTGGCATCAATCGGCGTGACTAATGCAGGTCGTAAGGCGGACGAGCCTGGGCTACTCGCACTCCCTGATCTAGTGTTGGCAAGGCTGGCTGCTCGCGTTTTGTCAGCCGCCGCTTTAGCCCTCCTGACCGCCTCGAACTCACGATTGCCGGCGTTTCAGATTGTGACGAGCTGCTCCTTAGTCAGCGCTCCAGCACGAGTGGGTCGGGCGAGACAGTTCCGGCTGTCTGCGCGATGAGGACCTCTGCAGTTGCGACATCTAGCTGCAGCAAGACATTCTCTTTCTGAATGCGTCAGTGAGCCACAGTTTCGGTAGGCTGGAGTCCGAGAGCAGCCGCCGGTACTGTGGTATCCAAAGCAACGTTTGCAGATTGCTTGCGTTTGACGCTTCGGGACTGTGGCTGCCCGTCTCGAGTCGTCAAAAAGTCGGAATCCCGTTCGAGGGGCAGATCCTCTCTCGAAAAAAGGCTAATCAATTACGGTATCTGGCTCCGTACTTGCTCTTACCGTGCCGCCGCACGGATTTTGGTATCACCCCAGTGCCGCGTTCTATTTCAGAAACAATGTGGCTTTCCGAAATAGTCACTTGCCTATCTAGCGAGATAATGTGGACGGGTATACTGGGTAGCATGAGGCTAGCCCAGTTTCTTTCTGGCTCGAGGCTAATATCTTGCGGAAGGCGGCCCGCACAGCTCAAGAGCATCTTTCTTGCATCCTCATCCTTGGCAATGGGAACGAAGCCAGCTGCTATTGGCAAAATCTTGTCAATTTTTGTCGGGTAACAGCCAAACTTACTAATGACTGCTACCCGAATTCCAGCAGTCGAAAGTTGTTGTAAAAAATCTGAGTTCATAACTGCACACACCTTCAGGGGATAACTGTGCACCAGCAAAGTTAACCCCTTAGAGTCTGATCACTATTGCCTCCTGGTCCCTACACACTAACATCAACGTGTTCACTACAATGAGGACACCATTGTAGTTACTCTAGCTATCATAGACAATACCATGTAGAGGAATAAGGGTAGGAACTCCTGTATATAGATAGGGCCTTTTTACTCTCAGTATCTATACATCAATCATCCACAAATACAATTCACCATCAATCAATCATCTTACTCTTTCCAAGAGATCTATTGAATTCTTCCATACCTATCAGTATTCTATTCACAAGGTGACGTCTCCCTATCCATCGCCCTCAGCCATTCAATAAAAGTGACCTTCAATCGTGATTCTTGGAGATCCGAAGGTATAGACCATCCTTCTTCTTTCCCTCTGGCTCCTTCAATCTATGACCAGGACGAGATAAAATCTTTGCAGTTGGAGGACTAGGTAGCTTTGACCGAGTTTCCTTATCCCGGGCTCTTTCTCTCCGAGTTTCTTTTCCGACAATAGTGGCCCAAGAATTAGCTTTAGAACCACTGGGAGCCGCAGTGCTGGGTCGATGAGTTTCCACAGGCGTGGGCTTTGTCTGGGTAAGTGCTGGCACTTTAGGCAGTACTGGTGGGGCGGCCCCGGGCCCTACTTGGATAAATTGGGCGATGGATGCCCGAAGATAGACTCGAAAGGAGTCAATAAAGTTTTTATGTTCTCCCGTTAGCATGGGAGAAAGGTGGTTTTCCACGACGTTGATGGTCGAGGAGCAAATTGAGATATTGGCAGCTGCTTCTGCTGCCCGTCTTTTTTCACTCTCGACGAGGACGGCCATCTCTTCTGGGGTAACAGAAGTGTTCGATTCCTGCTCCGCATCACTCCCTCTTTCCTGGGATTCATCACGGGCGGCATTGGATAGAGCCATGGTGATTTTGTCATTTTCTGGCAGCCTTGTGGTCAAGGCTGCGATCTTTCTCGATGAGGTTGCTGACAACCTAGGAGTAGTTGGCGACGGGATCAATTTCTCCGTCTGCTAACTTGGCTCAGAGCTGCCTGGATTAGTTGGGGCAGCCCATATGGAGTCGGATAGGCCTTTGGTGACGAATTCGTCGACCGCCCTGTCTATCATCTCGATCTCCGGGGCATCCATCACTTTGGTGGTGATGGCAGCTTCGGCATTATCAATGTCCATCTCATCGATGGTGATGCCGTACTCCAATAGGCGCGACCCTAGTCGGAGCTTGGCGTAATCCACCAGCGAGTGCTGGCGTTTCGTAACTCGTACCGATGGGTCCACGGTTTTGAATTTCTCGAGGGTGGTGGTAAGATAAAGATTGATAAGGTGTTGAAGTGAGATGAGGGTGTTAGATCGCTATGGAGGCGATTGAAAGTGGAATTGCAGCTAGAACGACAATTGTCTATAATTGACAGCGATAGACTTCGTATCCTGAGGGGGACTATTCTCAACACTTGTCAGTGGTGTCCCCTACGAACCTCCAGCTCTCACTGTAGAGTCTGCAGAGCCGAGATTGAGTAACAAAGTCCTCACCTCGACGAGGATTGATAATCGTTTTCGCCGTCTGTATCGTCTTCATTTCTCAACACATTTTCCTATCACCATTTTCATGAAGCTAACCACGATCAGATCAGATGGTAGTGTCGGAGCCCTACTCATCATCAACCCTTGATCATGGAGGAGATGCCATCCGATGAGTTTCCGGAGCGTACCCAGCACCCGATACGGAGATGGTGGATTGGATCAAGTCGGCCTCGACTGTTACAAAGAAGGGAGATACAAATGAATATGCGCACCTCATATGGTCCCGGTGTCAAGGCCTCGCCTGGCTGGGGCTGCAGGTTTTTTTTGAGACTTTTTCCCGCGCACGCAGTTTCCATTGCTACCATTTTTATTTTTTTGGGTAGAAGGTTCCGTGGAAAAGGTGGCTGAATTCCACGGGTAAATACTGAGCTGAATGGCTATTCATCAAGGAGAATATATCAATGATCTTCCAAGTAACAAAAGAGGATAGGAGCACTGTACAAGGTGTGGCCTGGGTCAGAGAGGAGCCCAATGTGCTAGAAAGTCATAAACTCAAGTAGCACAATAAACACACAAACATACTTCGTATCCTGAATAATACTTGTGGATACATCTATGAAACTATATACATGCTCGCCTAACCAGTACACTAGTGATGTATGCTGTGGCCTTGAGCCACACGCGATGCCCTAGCCTCGACTACCTCGTTGTCTCATATCATAACACCTATGAGGCCTAGGTTGCTCTGGTGATTATGTTTGTTTGTTTTCTATTTTTCGTCTGTCGGGGCGCCAAGCTTAACTTAGGTCCCTACTGTTGAGCGGATTGGTTTGCAAAAGCTTGTGGCTGTTAGGCACAGATTATTTCACTTGGTTAAGCGAGTGGGAAAGTAAAGGAGTCTGTAAATCTGTCGTGGAGAGTTGTTAATTACTCCCACTAGGACACAGAGTGCTATATAAACTATATTTTGTAATAATAAAATCTAGTGGTTGGTATTTACGTCAAAGCGCATTAATACTAACCTCACAATTAATGGGAGATTAGTGACGTGTCTTCTACACATCCCTGTCTTTACCATAATTGGAAGCACCAATTTCAACACCTACTACCCACTAAACTACCTAGAGGCATGGACGCCAGTGCTTACTGCCCTGGTGGCTTCGCCCTTGCTCCTTCCTAACTATGTTTGCAGGGCAGTTCTATAATTACATGATTGCGTTTAGCATAGCACCTGCACTTTTTCCGCCAGTCCCCGAGGCTCTTTACTCATTTGATGTATAACAACCACTCTCGAGATACTACTAATAGATCCATTCATAAATACCGCACCATAGGGTTGGATGGTGCAGTGGTACACCATCCGGGCCGTTCTCCCAAGTAGAAACTGGGTAGCTTGAACATTTACCCTATGCGAGACAGGAGAAAGCTGGTTCGAATCCAGTCAGACCCACACAGCACTCTCTGCGTTGACAATATACTTGTGGGATGATGAAAGCACACTTGGATAGTCACAGGTTTTTCACGCTTTTCCCTGTGGTGGGTATGCATGGAAGAGGTTATACGCCGTAAGGGTTAATCTCGAGTGGTATCTGCAAATGAAATCTGAGTGTGAGTGTGAGTGTTCTAAATGTCAAATTGAGTCATCCTACTTAAAGTACATATCTTCCGAAAAAACCTGCATGGGCCTCAAGGCGCCAAATCAGGATAATGAATAATTATTATTATTATTATAAATACCGCACCTTCCATCCATAATGCAAGGCTCAGAGTTGGGGCAGAGTTGAAGACCTATTTATTTCTTCTCTGGGGTTTCTAGGGCAGGTCTTTATGTAAAACTTTGAAATAGAAAGCCACTTTGCTACACTTAGGGCCCCTTCCCAGGTTTCTAGTGATTATGATGTATATGAGTATCCCTAATCATAAACATTGTATTATAATTTGTCACGTGTACCCCAGTCTCTATGCATAATGCACGCTAAGCTACAAATCTGTATATACTAGACACATCCTGTAATTTTAGAAGACAGTTATACACCGTCTTAAGATTTCACTATATAGAAGATATAGCAGAAATCCAGAGACACTGTTGACCTACGACTTTCTTACATCTACATTTCACCACCGTATCATCCTAGGAACTTATAACCTCATATATATGTGTTCTTTGATATGGTTTGAGTAGCCTGGGCACCTACTCCACTTGGGAAGGAGACATCTCAGATTACATTTCGCGCGGAGAAAAGTTGAAAGATGATGGAGGCATGTCTGGATAACCTAGGGTCTTTGAGACGTTCCCCTGAGTGGGTATTCACGGATGAGGGTTGACGTGGGGTGAAGAAAAAGCTGCCATAACTTCGCAGTGGTACTTACAAATTAAATCTGAGGCATGAGTGCTCTTCCTTTACGTTAAATCATCTCTTCCGCAATTTTCTTTGATATTGTGTCATAGCTAGATAGCTGTATACGCAATTAAAATCTGATGCAAAAAAAAATATATATGTATTGGACAGAGCCGAAGTAGAAGGCCACGTTTTGTCTTCCGTCCTCTACTGGCCTTGTATCTTGTCCTAGTTTCCCCCATCCCTCGTCCTTAAATACAGTTAGAGTTACGAATTCATACCTTTGACTCTTGCCAACCTCCTCAGATATTACCCAAGTCACTCTGTAACCCTCCCGAAGCAACCTTTGGCACCCTCGAGTTTGACTGAAGGGCTACAAGTTAGCTCTGCGGTCTCCGTTGACTGAAAGTGGTTTTTGTGATGCCCAAAAGCCTTATAAGAAAACAGTACAAATAGCAAAAATAATTTATCAAGACCAATTTGGAGAGGGCCCGCACGGCAAAAGAGATATTTGGAGTAACCAAGTGGCATAAATCTGTGCGAACTTATCGTTCACGCCCACTTAAAGACACCCGCTTCTCTGAACAACCTCCAGTCTAGAGTCTTGCCGGAAAAATGGAAGTTCTTATACAAAATCTACTCGCAAACCCCTCAGCAGTTGGTGACATCCCTATGAATTCTCCCACGGTTTGTCCAACCTCACTGCCCTTCCCATCCCCTACCGCCGAGGAAATCCGATACTCCATCCTACGTGCTGGCAACACCTCTCCTGGTGCAGATAGAATACCTACGGCCATTATCCGGCACGCGTGGCCTTTGATTAAACACTAGGCACTGTCTCTGTTTAACGCTTTCCTCTCGATTGGTCACCATCCCGAGTGCTTCCGGAAGGCCATTCTGCTGATGATTCAAAAGCCGAACAAGTCAGACTTATCTTCGCCTCGATCTTACCGCCTAATTGCACTACTTTCTTTACTAAGCAAAGGATTAGAGGGATTTATTGCAAAAAGAATGGCTTGGACTACTGTCTGGTATAAGGTGGTATTGAGCCAACAATTCGGCACTCTTTCAGGCAGATCGGCTGTTGATCTAACCACCTGCCTTACCCACCATGCAAAAAATGCATTTCATGAGGGTTTTACAGTCAGTATGCTAACCTTAGATGTCAAGTGAGCCTTCGACGCCGTATATCCGGCACGACTTGTCCGCCGTCTGCGAGAGACAGGTTCGCCTGAAAACCTGGTGCGCTGGGTAGGATCCTTTGCCTCACGCCGTACGGTGTGCGGCTGTCTCGATGGGGTAACAGGCCCCCCACATCATGTGGACTACGGTCTTCCACAAGGCTCACCTGCCTCGCCCATTCTGTTCGTGCTCTATATTTCCCCTCTCTTCAAGATGGGAATGAAGAGGAAATGATTCGGCCATGTAGATGATGTTGCTCTCCTTGAGACAGTGCCTAACCTTCTGAGTAACTGCACAGCTCTCTCTCACTCGCTGGCGGAAGCTATAGAATGGGGGGAAAGGGGAGGCATTACTTTCGACCCAGAAAAATCACAGCTACAACACTTTTCTCGAAAACGGGCTGACCGCGACCCTTTCTCAAACCCTTCCGTCTCTCACAGAGACATAAGGGTCTCGCAAGATCTCAATAAACCCTACAGGCGCTGGCGAGGGGTTCACTTTGATCGAACTCTCTCGCTTAAATGGCATGTCCGCATCCTAGCTGAGAAGGCTTTAAAAGTTGCCTACGCACTCTGTTCTCTCAGCAACACCGTCTGAGGAGCGTCCCCCAACTTATCTGACAAGCCATCATAGCTCGCACACTTCCCATAGCCTACTATGGCGCAGAGACCTGGTGGCTGGCCACACAAGATACAGCAACAACCTCATCTCGAATCGAGTCCAAGGAAACCAATTCACCCTCCGCAAAAATTTTCTAACGGGAGCTAGAGCTACCCTACCTGTATATCGGACTACGCTAATCCCTGTTCTGTACCGCAAATAGGGTCTCCTCCCTCCTGATTTAGAGCGGGACTCGAAATTAAAATTCGTGGCACTGCGCATCGAACGCCTGGACCCTAAACACCCACTCTGACAAAGAGTCATATAGATCCGGGTACACAATCGTTGAGTCTTTCGTCTTGCGGTCTGGGTTCTCCAAAGTCCGAACACTAAAATGACCGACCCTCTGATTCAGCTGTCATTACTCAAAAAAGAGATATGGTATAACTGTAAAGGGACGAGAATCACGGACGCTGCACGCAAAGGCTGTCACAAAATAATCTATATTTTCTATGAAGAGAACACTTCAGTGGGACAGAGCCAATGTAAGGTGTGTGCTAATGACCACCTTACATAAGCACTTACTAAGCGTCTAACCTGTTGCAATAGACAGGCCTATTTGCCACATCCCACTTACATGCAAGGCTGGGCCAGTAAGTCAGCCCAGCCAACTAACACCGGGTAAACCCCGTAACAATAATAGTGTATGGCGAGTTACGCTCTCTACCATTAATCTCTCTTCTGGCATCCTTTTTAGAGATCTCGCAGTCTATACAGATGGCGCTCGATCTGAGCTAGTAGAATAGCCCAGGACAGGTGGTGGAATCGATATCTTTTACGCTGGCCAGATGGTATACCGTGAGAGTCTGTCCGCTGACTCGACGCTGTCACTTTTCGACACAGAAGTTACCGCCGTGAAAGAAGCCCTCAAAAACTACGCTTTCCCTACTAACAGCACGCTTCTCGGAAAATCTTTGGATACTCACAGATAATCTGGAGGTAGCTCGCCTTTTATTTCAGTACCCAATTTGCTTGTCACAAGTGGTTTTCCAACAAATACAGGCCCTCTCCTGATTCTGGCCTCTTCGCTCCCGGCTTCCACACATTTCTCCCGGGAAAGTCCAGGCTTATTGGATCTCAAGCGACTTTTGCATATTGGGTAATGATATGGCCGACGCCTCTGCCTGGGAGGTGCTTTCAAAACCTCCGCCTATACCTCGTGGGTACGTTACTTTTGACACCGTGAAAAACCGCATCAAAGCAGAAGTATCGACGGCTATGAAAGATTACTGGGGCCAACATGCCCCAATTTCCTATAGGGAGCTTGCCATCGACTCATAATCTCGTCACCCTAAGGAACTCTCGCTAGCCAGACCATTACTCTCTAGACTATACGCTTCTCGCTCAGGACATGGTGACTTTGCAGAGTACCAACGCCGTTTCAATCACGAGGGCGCTAACCTTCATTGTGGATGCGAACAGCTCATTGCCCCATTGTACTTTCTAGAGTGCCGCCTATCCACCCACAGATCCCCTCGAGCTCCAGCATCTTAAAGCAATCCGAAGAAATATTTGCTAGGAGCCTGGGAAGGCATCTTACGTGTAGCAAAGTGGCTTTCCCTTTCTGAGTTTCACACAAGGATCTGCCCTAGAAATCCTATATAAGGGATAAATAGGTCTTCAACTCTGCCTCAACATTTGAGCCTTGCGTTGTGGATAGATGGTTTGATATTTCTGAAGGGATCTATTAGTAGTATCCCGAGAGCGGGTGTAATATACCAAACGATTAAAGAGTCTCGGTGACTAGCTGTAAAGGTGTGGTTGCTACGCTACACAAAATCATGTAATCAGAATTTTCTTGCAAACCTAGTTGGGAATTAGCAAGGGCGAGGCCACCAGGGCAGTAAGCACTGGCATCCATGTCTCTAGTTATTTTTTTTTTTTTGCATCAGATTTTAATTGCGTATGCAGCTATCTAGCTATGACACAATATCAAAGAAAAGTACAGAAAAAATGACTCAATTTACAAGAGGAGCACTCATGCCTCAGATTTCATTTGCAAGTACCACTGCGAAGTTATGGCAGCTTTTTCTTCACCCCAAGTCAACCCTCATCCGTGAATACCCACTCAGGGGAACGTCTCAAAAACCCTGAGTTATCCAGACATGCCTCCATCATCTTTCAACTTTTCTCCGCGCGATATGTAATCTGAGGTGTCTCCTTCCCAAGTGGAGTAGGTGCCCAGGCTACTCAGACTATACCGGAGAACACCACCAGGAGGCGGACCACAACACCTTCCATCGTTTGCTTGTGTTTATAGTGTCAGCTGCACTCTCGCAAGCGAAGTCTTGGCGCGCACAAAGCTCGATTCGTAAAACTCTTGCCAAAATTCAAAATTTCACGCCCGCCGAGACTGTATCCATCCTTTGCATCATCTTGTAAACTTGTCCTGATCCCTCTCACGTCCATTCCAAAGAACTGTCTCCCAGATTTGTGCGCCACACTTTGCTTCCTCCGTCGGGTATAAATATCGGCGTGGGCGTGTATTTGGCGGTCAACTAAGGCCAGAGAAAGTCGACTAGAGGTGTGATCATTGGGGTGAGGATGTACTATATCGTACTTGTAGACTTGATGAAGCTTAGTCGAGAATCGGACTCTTTGGGAGTGAAAGATTGGCGTGGTGGAGTAATTTGAATTTTTGCCTCGTGGGTCAACTTCTTTGATATTGCGAAATTTGACTGAACTTGGCTCTGGGGGAATATTTCACTCCCAGGTTCGTAGAGGACACCGCGTACAGGTATTCAGTCTTGCCCTCCATGTCTCTGGTTAGTCTAGTGGGTAGTAGGTGTCGTAAAATTCTGAGTTCATAACTGCACATACCATCAGGGGATAACCGTGCACCAGCAAAGTTAACCCCTTAGAGTCTGATCACTATTGCCTCCTGGTCGCTACACACTAACATCAACGTGTTCACTACAATGAGGACACCATTGTAGTTACTCTAGCTATCATAGACAATACCATGTAGAGGAATAAGGGTAGGAACTCCTGTATATAGATAGGGCATTTTTACTCTCAGTATCTGCATCCATCATCCACAAATATAATTAACCATCAACCAATCATCTTACTCTGTCCAAGAGATCTATTGATTTCTCCCATACCTATCAGTATTCTATTCACAAGGTGACGTCTTCCTATCCATCGCCTTCAGCCTTTCAACAGTAGGGACCTAAGCCAAGCTTGGCGCCCCGACGGACGAAAAATATAAAACAAATCAACAAATAAACCACTGACAAGTATTGAGAATAGTCCCCCTTTTAAGAGTTTTCTACAGGTGAGTGTAGCGATGTTTTTACATCACTTGATGTAATTGCAGTTATCTAGCTATGAAATATGGCCAGTGCTATGTATACATGTCGGATGACTCTTTGAAATTGTTGATACTCATAGTCTGGGCTTCAATTTCAAGTACCACAGTGGAGTATGCCCGCTTACATAAACAATCGAACCTCCATAATTATCCACCAAAGGGACGTTTCAAAACCTTGGATTATCTAAGCGTGCCTTCGTCATCCATATTCACAAGCGCCGCAAGAAAAATGGTTTTTTTTTGCCGTATTCGAACCATTCACCTCCTGTCTCGAGTGGGATATGTGTCCAAGCTATCCAGACTCTACTTGGCAGACCGGCCAAGACGATGTACCACCGCACCATCCAACTATGGCGGTGTTAATAGTGTCACCTGCACTCGCGCTTTACTTTACTTTCCTTCCTCCTGCGGGTATAAATATCGGCGTGGGCGTATATTTGTTTACGAGCTGAGGCCAGAGAAATTCGACGAGAGGTATGATCATTGGAATGAGGATGTGTAAGGTCGTACCTGTAGGCTTGATGGAACCTGGGTAGGAGTCAAACTCTTTGGGAGTGAAAAATTGACGTGGAGGAGTATCTTGCATCATCGCCTCGTGGGCGAACTTCATTGGTATTGCGAAGCTTGACTAAACTTGGCTCTGGGAGAATATTTCACTCCTATGTCCGTAGACTTAGCGGACAGGTGTTCAGTCTTGCCCTCTAAGAGTAGCAATTGGTGGTATCTAATTTATCACAAATCTATTTCCATTTCCTTGGCTCTGCAGGCTACACTACGTGGATGAAAATTAACTATTAATGTGAAAAGTGCATTTATAACGCACCTCAAAAAACCTGAGTTATCCAGATATGTCATCTTTATCCATTGACTTTTTTTCCGCGCGAAATGTAGTCTAAGGCGTCTCCTTTCCTAATAAAGCAGGTTTCCAGGCTGTTTGGCTGTTCCAGAGATCATCAACAGGAGGCATATCACAGCGTCTTCCGTCGTTGGTTTGCTCTGATAGTGTCAGCTACACTCTCGCAATCGAAGGCGTGACGCGCATAAAACTCGTCAACATGTAAATCTCCCCGAAAACATTTGAAATCTCACACCCACCGAGCTTGTACTCTTCCTCTGCATATCTAGTAAACTTATGCCGAACTCTTTCGTGCCTATCCCACAGAATTTCCTCCTAAACTTGTGTCAAACATCTTATAGCTTAGAACTTACTGAATAAGGTAATGAGAATCACTGGATATTAGGATGATACATCTCGGATTAACTTACTCGAGCTTTGATATCTCACCAGGGATATGGTGTTCAGGATGTTCAGGGTAGTCAAAGCTCTAACTTGAGATCTTTTGATCTTCAACACATGTAATATATTTCATATGTAATTTTGGGAAACGAAGAGAAGATAATCTCTCCTCGAGATAGTTTCAGATGGGTATATAGCATCACTGCTGGAGAGGAGTTGAGGAGCAGAGATTTCATCAATACCACTTTAATTTACATTTTTCATTTGACCCTCAGTGTCTAACAACTTGTGTGCTACAATTTTTGTCTAACTGTGGATATTCGTATTATCTTGGGCGTATATTCAGTGGCCAGAGAAGGTCGACGGGAGGTTTGGTCATGTGAATTATACATGAAAGCTTTATGATTTTTTGGGGGAGCCATCGTCGTTGGGAGTAGAAGATTGACGTGGAGGAGTATCTTGCATCATCGCCTCGTGTGACAACTTTTTTGGTATTGCGAAGTTTGATTGAGTTTGGCTCCGGAAGAATATTTCGCTCCCAGGTTCATAGCCTTAGCGGACAGGTGATCAGTCTTTTTCCATGTGGATTGCAAACGACATGGCGGTTACAGTCAAATGAAATATTCTAGTTACTTGGATCAGCATTTCATTTATTCCGGAGATCAATTTGCGGAATTCTAAATGCCCATATTTTGGCAGCCTTTCCCAACCGAATGATCTGCATGATTCTTTTTTTTTTTACATCAGATTTTAATTGCGTATGCAGCTATCTAGCTATGACACAATATCAGAGAAAAGTGCAGAAAAGATGACTCAGTTTATAAAAGGAGCAATCATGCCTCGGATTTCATTTGCAAGTACCACTGCGAAGTTATGGTGGCTTTTTCTTCACCCCAAGTCAACCCTCATCCGTGAATACCCACCCAGGGGAACGTCTCAAAAACCCTGAGTTATCCAGACATGCCTCTGTCATCCATCAACTTTTCTCCGCGCGAAATATAATCTGAGATTTTTCCTTCCCAAGTGGAGTAGGTGCCCAGGCTACTCAAACCATACCAGAGAACATCACCATGCATGATTCTTTGCTCTTGCTACTTCTGAACTCTGCAACTTGACATCTAAACATTAAAATGTTGGATAATTTTGAATGCCTCTCCTGCAATTTGCGTATTATCTTCAACGAACGTTGATATATGAAAACTCGTTATTGTAATTGCATATTGAATCAGAACTGATATTGCTTCGTGTTTGTCGCATTGAGATTACTAGCGCATTCTGTTGCCACTCCAAGCTTGGCATGCGAGTAGTATTTAGAATGACTTTTCCAGCTCTAGATTTCCTAAATTCTTGGAATCAGAATCCACAGAAATATCGGAATCCCATAGGACATATTATATTTTGACAGACATTGGGAACAAGAGTTTAGAACGTGGATGTAACCGAAAGTACTCCACATGAAAGGAATTCTTCACTTGATTCGTTGTGCAACACCATCCAACTAACATTCTCTAAACAGCTGCGAAGTTCTAACTTTACAATCATCGAAAATGAAAAATCTAAAATACGCCTTCAGATGCCAGTCTCTCTTACTGAAAGCTATATTTTTCATGTTTCTAATCTCAGCCAATGCATCATTGACTCTAGAGGATGTGAAACAACCAAGAGAGCCTGGATACCACTGTCGTAATAAAAAATATACATTCAGTCAAGTTGAAGCGACTCGTAGAGTAGCTTGTAAAGCATTCTTATCAACAAGGGATGATGCGAGAAGACCACTTGTTACACAAGATCACATTGATGTGGAAAATTTGATATACCAATGGTCTCTTCCGACACGTCCAACTAATCATCCTACTGGTAACAATTTTAACCCCTTTTCCTCAGACCGACCCAAATCTTCCCGATAGCTCTGATTAGCTAAGTATATTCATAGATGAAGGTAAAAATGATAAAGGAAAAATCGTCTTTAATAATAGATGTGAACTGATAAACGTGGTTTATTACGATCCTAATAAGATTCAAGATTATTTATGCCAAAAAGTATCTAAGGTATCATCGATTACAACTTCAAGGAAGAATAAAGTCCCAGAAAACCCTGTCGTTCAATGCGGATCACTGGCCCTAAAAATTGAAGAGATTCAGGAATACGCACGCTCCAAATTTTTACATTCCCTGCCTGAATTTTTTGAAGTGAAAAATACATTCGATCGAATTGATGGTCCATGGAAGAGAGCCTTATTTAGCAAAACAATACTTATAAGTCGTCAACGTAAGTTCATTCAATATTTAACCATGAGAATAACTGAAAACCTTTCTAAGCGCACGATGTACACTACGAAATTGTAGTAGACAAAAAGGATGAAGTTCGTGGCATGGTTGTTACGCACCACATAGGCCGAAAATTAATCTCAGCCAGAACTTATGATGCAGTAAAATATCACGGGTCCCGCAGAACAAGGCTGAAAAAGGAGACCATCAGACTCGTCTGCTTCTTTGACAAGACATTTCCGCTTCTTCGTCCAACCCCATCATCAGATGTATCAAACCCTCTCAAACGCAAGACTTTGGCATAGGTTGTTGAAATATGGTATATCTTGGAAGGTCAAGAATAAAATATTTGGAGATCTAGCCGATCAGACCAGCAAATTATCCGTTTAATAGCTTTTTTTGCATCAAATTTTTATTGCGTATGCATTTATCTAGCTTTGATACCATATTAAAGAAAAAATGCAAAACAAGTGACTCAATTTAATAGAAGAGTACTCATACCTCGAATTTCTTTACAAGTACCACTGCGAACTTGTAACGGATTTCCTCATCCCAATTCAGCACTCGTCCGCGAACATCCACCCCAGAGAAACATCTCAAAAATCCCAAGTTATCTAGAAATATCTCCATCATCCGTAGACTTTGCTCCGCGCAAAATATGGTCTGAGGTGTCTCCTTACCAAGTATAATAGGTGCCCAGGCTACTCAGACTGTACCGGAGAACACCACCAGGAGGCGGATCACAGCACCTTCCATCGTTGGCTTGTGTTTATAGTGTCAGCTGCACTCTCGCAAGCAAAATCTTGAAGCACACAAAGCTCAATTCGTAAAACTCTTGCCAGAATCCCAAAATTCACACCCTTCGAGGTTATATCCTTCCTTCGCATCATCTTCTCAACTTGTCCTGATCCCTCTCACCCCCATCCCAAAGAACTGTCTCCCAGATTTGTGCACCACGCTTTGCTTTTTCCGTCGGGTATAAATATCGGCGTGAACGTGTATTTGGTGGTCAACTGAGACCAGAGAAAGTCGACTAGAGGTGTGATCATTGGGGTGAGGATCTACTTGGTCGTACTTGTAGACTTGATGAGACTTAGTTGGGAGTCAAACTCGTTGGGAGCGAAATAACGACATGGAGGAGTAATTTGAAATTTTGCATTGTGGGCCAACTTCATTGGTATTCCGAAATTTGACTGAACTTGGCTCTAGGAGAATATTTCACTCCCAGGTTCGTAGAGGACACCGCGTACAGGTGTTCAGTCTTGCCCTCCAGAAACCCCCTTATTTATGTATATAGAGGAAGGTCCTGTCACGTAGACTTGTTGGAGATGGAGACACAGAGTGTTGTGGACGTACGGGCCCTCCATTTCGTCTAGGTTCCCCACACGATCTTGTGTGTATTTAAGAGGTTGGAATGGGTAATATGGTAGCACTTCAGGCTACCTAATGGAGACATGAGCGGCTGTGTGGCGTGGGCACAAGGAGTTTATTGGGGGTTTTCTATGTCTTGGTGACGCTACACTCGTTTATGCTGTGGTTTAGGCTACGTGTCGTTTACACTTGTACTTGGAGCGCACACTTCCCAACCTTTTAGCAGTAATCCGAACAGGACACTCGTTTAGCTAACCTCTACTTTCATTCCATAAAAATTGCGCCCATTTTATTGTGCGGTATTTCCAACAAGACTGTTTATGTATTTGTTTATTGTCCTACGAAGTCTATGACTACGTAAAGACATGTAGGTCCTTTCTACCTACAGGCCGGGAGTATCTGTGCCTCCTTCACGACTTCTTTCCAGCAGTAATACCCCCACAGATCTTCATTCGAGTACACACTAAGAGGAGCCGTTTTCCCGTCATTATCTCCCCTCTCCGGCCAACGAGACGATGGCCATTTGCGCGTGTTTAGCCGCAGGGAAATGTCTCAAAAACCACTGGGTGCGGGGCTCTCCTATGACAAAGAGGCCGGGTAGCCGGGCGCAGCAGACCTGTGTATACATACGAGCGTCTCTCTTCCTTCCTAGCCTCCTCCTTCCTCTTTCCCTGAATCATGCAGCAGGACAAATCGAAAGTCGTGAAAGGATGTCAGAAAAGTCTTGGTCGAGAGTGACTGTCGTGAAGGAGCCTAGCCTAGCATTCAAAAGTCTTTACGGACGTGGGGTCGTCGGGTAACTCATGTATTTCAGATGCCCTCCTGTCTAGTAGATTTGTAAGTGCGGATTACAAGGGGCGATATTATTGACGAGTCGAAATCTGCTTTTCTTGAGGGCGGATGGGCCTTTTACTTTGCTTTCGTTGGCTTTTTGTTCGCCCGCCGGTGGGTAGCACATGTTGTGGTCTAACGAGGGCTTCTCTGACTACAGTTGTAGCGTTTGGTACGGCATTATCTTTCCTCATTCCCAGCATCATTATCGTCGTCTTTGTTGTCTTAAGACTTATCGCAAGCGTATCTTTGGCGGAGGGGAAGATAACCCAGGTCAAAGTTGAAAAGGAGTCATTGAATCTCGGCCCTGCCGATTCTACAGTGAGAGCTGGAGGTTCGTCGGGGACACCACTGACAGGTGTTGAGATAGTCCCCCTCTGTCACGTAGCTAATATAAGCAATTCATACAATGGGAAATTTAAACAATCTCAATGTTATTCACATACTTAAGAGTACTAGGGAATATCCTCAAGTTCGTCCATTGACCTAAGTCCTAAGAGTATATGTTAACCCCAATTAGAATGGAAAAGATAAGTTGTATTTAAATAGTCTGTCCTACATAGTTATAAACTCAAATAGGACATAAATGGATTATTATTATTATCATTATTATTATAAGAGTATATGTTATGGCCTGAAATCTCTGGCCTGAGGCAGAGTTACCAAACGGGATATCGAGCCAGCCAATATTAACTAGAGAGATAAAGTTACGAGGTCATCTCCAAGACCTACTTTCAGAAATAGCAATCCTGTGCTTAGTGAAATTATCCTGCATAGATTATTAATATAGGCTTTCGGGGATGATTAGTATTTAGGCTACAGGAAGAATCCACATATTATTTCCCAGATTAAATATCTGAGGAGATGGGCAATCCAACACAGATAGCCTCATACGATGGATGGTTCAAGGATGAGCCGGGGATTGTATTAATGAATTGTTTGATTATAAGAAGCGGAATAAATGGCGTACCCAGATCTTCAGCTTCGCAATTTGTATTTTTCTCTTCTTTTTATCATAATCAACTTTGGTATCTTGCTACCACAATTATCTCTTCGTAATCTTTAAATTCTTAATTCTAAACCTCCATTGTGAACCTCAATAATCACCTCACATACTTCGAAAACGGCAGATCCTACCCCATTTGGATCGCGCCGTGTGTGTGTGTATGTTTATTGTGCTACTTGAGTCTATGACTATCTAGTGGATTGCGCCGTAACAGTATAACTCACGAACTTCACTTCTCTTAAAGCTATGGCTACCTCCTTCCTAACGGCACGTCATTTCAGCTCAGCATAGCCTTCCAGTGTGGAGAAGAGGTGAGCCGAGGAGATAGGATAGTTTTCAGGCATCAACGGTGGAGAGTTAATACTAGTCTACGCAGAGGACAGAGGTCAGGATGTAGGTAGGTGATGATTTTATTGTACTACTATAATCATAGACCATCTAACAGATTGGGCTCCTCTCTTTCCGAGGCCACAACTTGTACAGTGCGCCTTGCCTCTTTTGTTACTTGAAAAATCATTGATTTACTGCCCGTGATTAATAGCCATTCAACTCAGTACTTAGGCGTGAATATCAGCCGCCATTTCCACTGGACCTTCTACCCCAAAAAAAAAGGTAGCAACGTAAACTATGTGCGCGGGAAAAAAGTCTCAAAAAACCTGCAGCCCCAGCCAGGCGAAGCCTAGACACCGGGACCACATGAGGTGTGCATATTCATCTATATCTCCCTTCTTTGTAACATATAAGGCCGACTTGATCCAATCCACCATCTCTGTATCTGGTGCTGGGTAAGCTACGGAAACTCATCGGATGGCTTTTTTGTTCTAAATATCGCGCAGTTAAATGAGCGCAATTTTTATGGAATGAAAGTAGAGATTAGCTAAACGAGTGTCCTGGTCGGATTGCTGCTAAACGGTTGGGAAGTGTGCGCTCCAAGTACAAGTGTAAACGACACGTAGCCTAAACCACAGCATAAACGAGTGTAGCGTCACCAAGACATAGAAAACCCCCAATAAACTCCTTGTGCCCACGCCACACAGCCGCTCATGTCTCCATTAGGTAGCCTGAAGTGCTACCATATTACCCATTCCAACCTCTTAAATACACACAAGATCGTGTGGGGAACCTAGACGAAATGGAGGGCCCGTACGTCCACAACACTCTGTGTCTCCATCTCCAAAATTTTTCTCCATGATCAAGTTTTGGTGATGAGAGGGGCTTCAACCCTGACGTCTGATCTGATCGTGATTATCTTAGTGGTAATGGTGATAGGGGGAAGAGTTGAGAGATGAAGACGATACAGACGGCGAAAGCGATCGGGAATCCTCATCGAAGTGAGAACATTGTTACTCGATCTCGGCTCTGCAGACTCTACAGTGATAGTTCATTATTTTTAGATTATTTATTGTGCATTCAGCTTTAAAGTTATGATACACGATCAGTGCTAAGTATACATGAAGGTTGACTCTTTTGAAATTGTTGATACTCATAGTCTGGGCTTCAATTTCAAGTACCACAGTGGAGTATGCCCGCTTACATAAACAATCGAACCTCCATAATTATCCACCAAAGGGACGTTTCAAAACCTTGGGTTATCTAAGCATGCCTTCGTCATCCATATTCACAAGCGCCGCAAGAAAAATGGTTGTTTTTTGCCGTATGCGAACCATTCACCTCCTGTCTCGAGTGGGATATGTGTCCAAGCTATCCAGACTCTACTTGGCAGACCGGCCACGACAATGTACCACTGCACCATCCAACCATGGCGGTGTTAATAGTGTCGCCTGCACTCTCGCAGCCGAAGTCTTGGCACGCACAAAGCTCAATTTTTAAAACTGCTTGGCAAATTTCGAAATTTCACGCCCGTCGAAATTGTATTCATCCTATGCATTATCTTGTGAACTTGTCCTGATCTCTCTCACGTCCCTCCCAAAGAAATGTCTCCCAGATTTGTGCGCCACGCTTTGCTTCCTCCATCGGGTGTAAAAAATCGGCGTGGGCGTGTATTTGGCGTCCAGCTGAGGCCAGGAATTGACTTAACGAGAGGTGTGGTCATAGAAACGAAGGTGTACTAGGTCATACTTGAAGACTCGGTGAGGATTTAGTGGGAAACGATCTTTTGGGAAGTAAATATTTATTTGGCATAGAGAATTTAATTATTGCCATCGTGGTCCAACTTGCTCTGTTTTGCGAAACTTGATTGAACTTTGCTCTGGCAGGATGCAGGATTTTAGCAGGCTACGTTAAATAAATCTCTTAAACTCGCTCTTAATCTCTCGTCTAGGAAGACTTAGTCTATTGAAATTTTGAGTCCATGACAAAAAGGTCTCGCCATGATGTCTGTTGAGGAATAACCTATCCTTAACTCTGGGCCTCATGAAAGCCGACGGTACGTAGAAGAACAATGCTTACCGGATATGGATGAAAGGGCGAAAATTCGCGCGTGAAAAGATGCAACTCCCGTCAAGGGGAGGTATTAGCCTAGTGAAGATTAGGGCATGGTGAATATGGTGAGAAGCATCATCACATCACAGTTGTCCAGTGCGCGATACACATACACGTGCCCTATCTCCGCACTATCACAAACACCATCGATCTGTACTATCCATTGCAATGCTGAGTTTATAAGGAGATACTGTACCACGCTTTGTTTGCACAGATAGACAACATGAGAGAAACGTTATCAGTCCCATCTAAATAGCCCGTCATTCTCTTGTTATGATATATATTTTAAGTAACGGCCCCCTTCACCGATAAATCCTCTCAATTTATCGGCAAAGGGGCCTGGCGAAGAGGTTTATTTGCATGCGCAGTATCCTTAGTGAATTTGAGGGAGAGACAATGTTGAGTTGCCTCAAGAGTCATTAGATGCACTCATTCTACATAGCTTGCATTGTATACGATAATCCAGGTGGCGTAGGCCGATCAGGTCACGAAATCGACCTTTTCTCTAGCCCCCCCAGCCAGCTTGATTATTTGCTCTCACTATTCTGCACATTTAAATGACAAGATGAAATCTTGCTTAGTCGCTGTGCAGGTCATTCAGTTTCGATAACATTAATTTCGAACGTTCCCACATCCAATAGTGCCAATACGATTTTAAGATGAAACACAAGTGATAATACCTCAGACTGATCGCTTCTTCACACTTGGCGCAACATGAACCCGCCCAGAGCTTGACTTGTGAGTTGATTTTAGTCTAGTGTGTCCAGCGCCCAACCTCCAAAATCCTTGGACCCAGAAGTGAAAGTCTTGCCAGAGTGTTAAAAGCCAAGAAACTTCACGTCAAAGAATGATAAAAAGGCTTCGATACGTAGATGACACTAATAGCGCTCCTTGAGAGAGGAATCCTACACTACATTCCTGGCTTAATTCTATCTCTACCACTGCAAAGCACCGACTTGACAATCATCAAAGATGAAAAATCTACGTTACATCTTTATAATTCAGTCTCTTCGCCTAGGAGCTGTGTTTCTCATACTTTCAATCTCAGCCCATGCTTCGGTGATGCAACGCAGAATGAGTCAACCAGCCGAGCCTGGATACCACTGCAATAATCAAATATATCTATTCAGTGACATAGAAACCGTTCGGCAAAAAGCTTGCAAAGCATTCACGTATCCGAGGAAGGAATCGAGACGACCACTCGTAAATACTTATAGCGATAATGTCGAAAATTGGATATTTGAGTGGTCAATTCCTGCATGCCTAGCGAAATATTCCAAGGGTAATTATTCCAAACTCATCCAACTCAACTAGGGCTCATACCGACTCTAATGCTCCGTTTCACTAAGTTTGGTCCTAGGTGTGAACAGAGCAACCCCAGATAAGATTACCTTTAACAATAGTTGTGAACTTACTGGTGTGCTTTCGTACGATAGTGCATCATCTAAATATAATTTATGTGCCAAAGTACCCGAAGTGTCAACAAGTGCGTCTTCAAGGATGAACCAAGACCCCGTCAAGTCGTTCATCCAATGTGGATCCTTATCATTGGAAATAATAGAGATTCAGCGACACGCGAGTGCTCAATCAACCAGATTTATGGAAGGGTTCGTTGAAGTAGAGAACTCATCTTTTGAAGTTGACGGTCCCTGGAGGAGAAATGTTTTGGGCAAGATAGTATCTGTACACAATAGACGTGAGTTTGCTAGACTTATACAAATCGAAATTCGCTTAATGTTTCTCAAAGTACACAACATCTACTACGAAGTCATGATAAACAATCAAAATGAAGTTCGCGGCATGGTCTTTACGCACTATATAAGAAGTGTAGGTCCCGCAGCCGCTAAGTGTAATGACAACAAACATGATCTGTTGCACATGAAAAAACACCGGGAAAATCGATGCATCAGACTTGTTTGCATTTTTAACACGAAATTTGAACTTTTTCCCAATAGACTAGCGTTGATACCATCCATCTCTCGCAAGCGAAAGACTCTAAAATAACCTAATTTTAAGGAAGGAGAGTAATAGCTTCAATCAGAGCTGGATGAATATAGAGGGTTATTTTTGTTGTTCTACTGGACCCTTTGACTATCTAGCACATTAGGCTCCTCTCCTGCCGAGGCCACACCTTAAATAGTACACCTTATCCCTTTTGTCACTTTAAAGATTATGGATATGTTGCCCGTGATGAATAGCCATTCAGTTTAGTATTTAGCCGTGGAATTCAGGCAACTTTGTTGGGCTTGGTCCTCAACAACTATTGGTAGAAATAAAGTGTAATAAAATCTAAATTTACAATTCACTTACAGCTATTAAGAAAGTTTTAGCTCTCCTTCAGAGTCATGGACTCAGTAGTGAAATTAATAAAATTCAGTTCCATTCTTTTCAATTTTATTCAGCCACCTTCTCCAGGAAACCTTCTTTAAAAAAAGGTAGAAAAGGGAATGTATGCGCGGCAAAAAGACTCAAAAAACCTGCAGCCCAGCCAGGCGAGACTTAGACACTTATATTTTGAGTCATATTTTCTAAACTTTCCCTACGATACTGTGTCAAGGCTGGAAAGCTGTATATGCATATAGAATCTGATGCAAAAAACCCCTTCTGAGATGGCGATATCGACAGAAGGCTTAAGGAAAGTCAACCGGAGGATTTAGGCAGTTAAGTTGAGAAGGTTGTGGTGGGCGACTAGATGAGACATCCAATCAAATAAACGAATGCTGCATGTGTCAAATATTTAATCTGTCCATAACTCTGAGCTTGATGATGGCCAGCAAGACGAAGAATATCATGACCTTTCATTTAAAATAAAAGGGAGAAAAGTCATTAATTGGAAGATAGGACCGATATAGTGAGGGATGATTACCCCAGAGTAAGTATGGGCATTGTGAATGTAGTCGGAAGCATCATCATATTAAAGAGGAGTCAAGTGTGCGATGTAAATGTACACGTGTCATGTCCCTGTCCACAATTACCAACCTCCGCACATCCATAAACACCATCAATCTCTTCTATCCATCGCAATCTTGAGTATCAATATGAGTTACTAGTATACGGTATGTTCGTACGGGCCTATACCAAGATAGAAATGTTCAGAGGATCAGATGGGCGATGCTGGTTTAGGGTTGACTTGGAGTGAACGGAAAGGATAAAGTAGAGATTGGGAAGTTGTGTAGGGATCGGGTGCGTGATGGCCGAGGTTGAGAAGCAATCTTTGCTCCGACGTGTCAAAGTCGGGTTCTCTGGACGGCTGAACTAGACATTTTCAATACAGAGGTGAAGTCAGAGGTAGTCAGACCATTGAGATGAGACGAGGTACATGTACTTATATAAAAGGTAACCTCATCCAGTCCGGCCCCACTCGAGCCCTGATATTCACAGGAGTGCGGAGGGTGCTCATTGCCTAGCACATCAGTTCACACACAAATAGATATGACAGCGTTAATCTTTTGAAACTTTCGGGTCATCAGGACAACCTTTATCTTATATCCGAAGATTCCGTCGCGAGTGCCTGATGAGTCATGACAATGATTGTAGCATTTCTCTACTTCCTCATTTACCAGAATGTTTGCTCGCGCTGCTTCTCTGCTCTGCAATTCTGTATTACTGCATGAAATTTGGGCTAATCAGAATACCGCCCTGGAATCTAGTGCTGCTAGTACCAAAAAATCTTACAGCTCAAGGCACCGGTACAATTATATAATGAATCACGACTGATTGTGATTCGGGCTTCCCGCACCAAGCCCACCCAGAGCTTGGCTTGCAAATCGCAATAAAACATAATGGGTCCTGTGCCGAATTTCCAAATCTCTCGGGCCCAAAACCCCAGGACTTGACGGAAATTTGAAAGTCATTTAAAATCTTGTCAAGGAATGGGAAGAAGAGATCAGTGAGTAGATGTCGCTCATAGTGCTCCGCATGAAAGGTATACTCTACTTGATTTCTTGTAGATTGACATCTATCAAACACCATCTTCGTCACTGCGAGTACCGACTTTACAATCAGCGAACATGAAAAGTTCACATCACACCCTCAGATGCCAGTCTACGTTGCTGAAAGCTATATTTTTTATGCTTCTAATCTCAGCCAATGAATCATTGATTCTACGTAGAATGGAACAACCAAGAGAGCCAGGATACTACTGCAATAAGAAAAGATATCTATTAAAAGAAGTTGAAGCGGCTCGTGAAGCAGCTTGTCGGGGATTTGTATCAACAAGAGAAGATGCGAGACGACCTATCATTCATACCAAAGGTGATGATGTCGAAAATTTAATGTTTGAATGGTCTCTTCCTCCGTCGAAGGTTCGAAATGCCAAAGGTGATTATCCAAAACCCTTTCCCTCAAATAAGGGCCAAGTTTTTTCAAACAATCAGACTCACTAAGTCTGATAATAGCTGAAGGAAGAAATTACAAAGGAAGTATAGTTTTAAACAACAGCTGTGAACTGAAAGGTGTGATTTATTACGACCATAAATCAAAAAAGAATCACCCTTGCCATAAGGTACCCGAGGTCTCAATAAGCACAACTTCAGGGAAGGAGCAGCTCTCCAAGAAGCCTGCTGTTCAATGTGGATCATTATCATGGGAAATAGAAGAGATTCAACAACTCGCTGTTTGCGACTTATATAACTCACAGCATGAACTTGTTGAAGTGAAGTACACATCTGATCAAGTTGATGGTCCATGGAAGAAAATCTCGATGATCAAAATAGTAAGAATAAGTAATCGACGTAAGTTCCTCCAATCTACGAGAAAAAACAATTCTTAAAATTCTGTGAAGCACATGAAGTACAATTTGATATTATAGTAAACAATAAAGATGAAGTTCGCGGCATAGCAGTTAAGCATCACATATGGTGGTATCAAACCATGGCCGAAAATTTTAATAAAGACAATATTTACCTCTCAGTCCAGGAAAAAAGGCCTAAAACACTCACAATCGATCTCGTATGTCCATACGACAATACTTTTCCGCTTTATCCTCCGAAGATGATGCCAATTGTATCAAGCTCCCGTAAGCGCAAGACTTTGGCATAGGCACGACAAGGGAAATAATGAAAAGCTTCAAGCTGTATTAGTCGAACTTGCAAGTCATGAGCTATCTTTAGTGACAATATGTTCCATGGTGCGCTAATATAAATGAAAATTGCTTTCTACAGAAGGTATCATGATAGGAACTGTTGTTGAAATTATGAGCTTGAGCCAAGATGGAGGTAAGGGCGGAATCAGTGTCCGCGGTCTGACCGATACAGTAAGGCTTCATTGAGATTTTAAAAATGAAGATTTGGGTGAAAACAATTATTTTGAGATGTATCGTCCTGTGTAAACTTATACAATAAAAAGTAAGATTTCGTATGCGAATTTATCAACTGTAGTTTTTGACCAGTATTATCAATCCCCATGGATCATAAGTTAGAATCCCTGTATATTTAGATCTATATACATGTAGATATGTAAGCTATGATTATCGTCTAAGGCTAACATTTCACCTACTCATGTAAACTAAGCTAGAGGAGGGCAAGACTGAACACCTGTACGTGGTGTCCTCGGTAAATCTGAGAGTGAAATATTATTCCAGAGCCAAGTCCAGTCAAATTTCGCAATACCAATGAAGTTGGCCCACGAGGCAATGATTAAAAATACTCCACCACGTCAAATTTCCACTCCCAACAGTCTCGAATCCTATCTAAGCCTCATAAAGTCTACAAGTATGACCTAGTACACCTTCGTTTCTATGACCACACCTCTTTTCAAATCAATTCCTGGCCTCAGCTGGTCGCCAGATACACGCCCACGCCGATTTTTACACCCGATGGAGGAAGCAAAGCGTCGCGCACAAATCTGGGAGACATTTCTTTGGGAGGGACGTGAGAGAGATCAGGACAAGTTCACAAGATAATGCATAGGATGAATACAATTTCGACGGGCGTGAAATTTCGAAATTTGCCAAGCAGTTTTAAAAATTGAGCTTTGTGCGTGCCAAGACTTCGGCTGCGAGAGTGCAGGCGACACTATTAACACCGCCATGGTTGGATGGTGCGGTGGTACATCGTCTTGGCCGGTCTGCCAAGTAGAGTCTGGATAGCTTGGACACATATCCCACTCGAGACAGGAGGTGGATGGTTCGCATACGGCAAAAAACAACCATTTTTCTTGCGGAGCTTGTGAATATGGATGACGAAGGCATGCTTGGATAACCAAAGCTTTTGAAACGTCCCTTTGGTGGATAATTATGGAGGTTCGATTGTTTATGTAAGCGGGCATACTCCACTGTGGTACTTGAAATTGAAGCCCAGACTATGAGTATCAACAATTTCAAAAGAGTCAACCTACATGTATACTTAGCACTGATCGTGTATCATAACTTTAAAGCTGAATGCACATTAAATGAAAAAAAAACCAGTCCATCCAGGTGGCTATAAGCCTATCTACATATTTGCATAAGAGGAAAAATTCCCGGCCTTCTAATATATTTCTTGATGTTTGCAATCTATTCTTCAGGATGCACAATTACACTATAATGCCGTCTTTGTGTACCCATCACGTCCCCTGTATCGACTCCAACTCTTTGCCGGTTCTTTCTCGGTTTCTGAGCGGCATCTCGACTGCATTTATCGTGCAGAATCGTTCTATAAAACTATAACTAAGGACCCATTGCTTGATTCTTTTCACGATGCCAAGATTGTTTATCATCGCTTCAAGGGAGCCTTTTCGGACTTTCCTCCAGATCTCTCCTCTCCTAGTAAACCTCTTAAGGCAGTGCATGATCATGTACTCGGGACTTTTAGATTGGTTGCCACTGTCACGGAAGATGACGGGTACGAGGACGAAGGCAGAGGCTGACAACGAAGACGAGGTGTTCAGATTAATGATTAGATTCTTGAACATAAGTTATTTATAAGAAAAAAGGCTTCAGTATAAATCCAGTCCTAACGTTTCCTTGTGTACACGAGCATCAATACTATAACAAAGGGTGTATTAGTCCACGGCTTTAACACAGAAATTAACTAGTACTCCAAATGGCAACTATTACTACCACAACACTGTAACCGGGGGACTATTCTCAACACCTATCAGTGGTGTCCCCTAAGAACCTCCAGCTCTAACTATAGAGTCTGCAGAGCCGAGATTGAGTAACAAAGTCCTCACCTCGACGAGGATTCCCAATCGCTTTTGCGGTCTATATCGTCTTCAACTCTCAACACATTCCCTTATTACCGTTACCATGATGCTAACAACGATCAGTTTAGATCAGATGGTAGGTTCAGAGCCCTACTCATCACCAATCCTTGATCATGGAGGAGAAGCCATCAGATGAGTTTCCGGAGCGTACACAGCGCCCTATACGGATATGGTGGATTGGACCGATTTGAACACTATTATTTTTATTTATTTATATTAACGTCGTGCTAGCTCACAACTCTCACAATTTTTTGAAATTCGAGTTTTCGAATCTTCACCTTTTCCCCCTCTCCCTCCCTCTCGCGCTCGTCGCATCCATCTCTGAATTGTGATCGAGTCGCTGGCATTTTTACCATGCCTCCTGTTCGAAAAAAGCGTCCCAACGCTAGGTTGGACAACACGAGAGTCCACCCGAGGACTCTCGGAAAATTACCTGGCCTTGCCCAGTCTCCGAAATGCGCGGATATGAGCAAGGTCTCCATCAAAGGGAAGGAAAAAGCTCTCCCCGCCGTCACTGAACCCGATACTGACATGATCGGGTCAGTCGAAATTGTTGAGGGATTCCTCAACGAGCCTCCGTCCCCCACGGGATTGGAGAATCGTCCAAATCACCTCCGTCCGCGCCTAAACAGTAGGAAAACTCTGCACCCATAGCAGCGTCAAAATCGACGTCGCAGCCAAAAGCTGCTACGAAAGCAGAGTGTCCCCTCGAGCTCCGACCAATTGTCGAAGCTGAACAACGACGCGCCGCCTCCATCTCTGGCGTCAAAACCACCCTACCCCCTTTGACCAACGGGTCAAATAGACAATTCGTAGACTCGATGAGAGTCTACCTACGCGCCGCCATAGCGCAATACATGGCTGCGGGCCTGGTCACTACGCCACCTGTCCTCCCTCGTCGCCCGGCAAACCTGTTGTGAATAAGGTATGAGTAGGTATAAGATGTTGAATATTCTAGGGATAGTGCAGAGGGTGGATAACGATTATCTGAGCTCGATGATATGATGAATAGCTTGGTTACATTCTTCTACATGTCACAGTAGTAGATAGGACTTATATACACATATTTGGTACCCGCTATATAGTATATCACCGTCTATGAATGAAGTACTACAATCTTAATTCCATGCAATACTATCCCACATTACTCCATGCCATTGTAAAGAGCTGCGCCTCAATAGTCGATCGTAATGATAGCCATGTAGGGCTGTGCAGTACTCGCATAGATGTGTTGTATCCCTGGCATTTGGCAGAGATAAATTTAGAGTAAATGCAATAATCACATCACAACAAAACCCAACCCCAAGGGCTCCCGACGCCAGGAGCATACAAATTCCCACCGTCCCAGCGCTGCCCCTCAAAAGCACCTGGGCCACGGTGGCCAGAAACGGACTGCGACAAAAAGCAGTCCCTACTTCCAAGGCTATGCCGCGACCTGCGGCCAAAGCCCAACTAAAAGAAACCCCCAGGGTGAAAGTCGACAAGCGACTGTTCATTCGTCTTGAAAAGGACCACCCATGGCGAAAACTGTCCACAAGCAGCGTGAGAACTAAGTTGGAGTATACATTCGACTACTTTAACCAAGAAATAACCTCACTCCATCGAGTGAGAATGGGCTTTCTATGCTAGCATAGAACGACACAATACGACAAGAGACGTTAGATGTCTCTTCGAAGCTGGCGAGTGAAAACGTCAAACTCGAGGCATCTTCGGATCTTGTCGCCTTACAGATACCGAATGTACCTGTAAGTATAGTTACAGCGTGCAGCCCCAGGGCGGTCGATGCTGGGTGGGTCGCCGCCAAGATTCACAGTACGACCGGCGCGCTTCCAATCCAGGTCCAACCTCATGGGACATGTCGACCTGGGGCACCGCACCGAAACTAGCATGCAATTTTCGACCGGGAAGACGCCCCTCGTGCAGGCTTCCGCCTCTTCGACGAGTCTGGTATGGCTACCAATCACAAGCCCCGTCGACCAATTGAACAGTGCAAACGCTGTTTGGGCTTCCACGCCACTCGTGGTGCTCCCACGCTCCAGCCTGCTGGAACTGTGTATCTAACATACACTCGGAAACCGAGTGCAAGGCCCTCACTAAGTGTCGCAACTGTGGGGAGCCCCACCGATCGGATTCTCGGGACTGCCAAGTCAGACCTAGAAAGTCCGGACCGGTAACCAAAGAGCAGCTCGCGTGGATTCGCTACCTCGAGCAAGGGGAATTCTCAAAGGTGGCACGAGCTAGGGCAGCAGCCAAAAGGGCCGAAGAGGCGATCGTCGCCTCGGCGAAGGATGTCCCTATGGCCGAGGCAACAGGTTTCGGAGTTCTGGGAGCTGAAGAAGAAGTTTGATGGCACAGCAACCTCGACGATGTCCCCATTCGGGACATCTACTATCTATTAGCAGGATACCGGCTGTATCAAAGGTGCCTGCTTATCTATCTTTCGCTCTCAGCGGAGAAGGGGCAAATTTGTTATCTGGAAGGTGTGACGGACGGGGGAATGTGTGAGGAACGCATGGCTTGGGTCAAATATGGAGGAATCTTCTGCTTTTTCGGAGTTGTTTTGAGTTTCTTGATTTTTCGTTTCTGTTTAATCAGCTGTACTTTTGGTAGCGATTCACGCAGTTGGAATGAGTTGGGCCTGTATACAGTGATCCTCACCGGCTCCACCTGTCTTTGACCCAGTGTGGAAAAAATAGCATTCGCTTAGGACAAAAACAATAAAACAAAAGAAAACAGTGCTCTAAAGCCCCATGCCGGTTAGCTCAACCATTGAAGGGCTACCCGACGCACCGGCATACCCATAAAAAAACCCGATAAAGACCCCACTGCTCCCGGTCCGCATGGTCGCTAGATCA